AAAAAAAACTAAGGAGCGCAAAAGAAAAAGAGAACAATGACGAAGAGATTGGAGTAAGGTAGTGTGGTAGTAACGACGGAACGAAAAGGTACAATCAAAAGAAATCTTTCAGGTAAAGGAGACAACCACTTTTTATGAAGAAAGTAAAAGAAGGTTACAGCAGGATCGCCACTGGCTTCTATTCTGGGCCATATCTGATAACGTCTCTAGCCACTGTGTAGCACCATCTCTCGGACCCCAACCAGGGAGTCGTGAAGGACCAACAGAAGCCAGTCATTTGCAGCTTTCTTTCATACCACGACAACATGTCATGCACTGACCACCTCTCCGCTTCTTCCAACCAGTCCCAGAGTCGGCAAATAATGCACGACGTGGAATTCTCTGTGACGACATTCGGAGAACATATCCAAGCCACCGAAGTCGGTGTTTCAAGATGGTGACACCAATTGAATTATCATCTCTGTGCCCGAACACACGATGCCGAACCTCTGCATTACTGACATGGTGTTGCCACTGAATGTCAGCAATCCTTCGGAGACAGCGATGATCGAACACAGAGAGTCGTCTAACGTCCTCAACTCGGAGAGACCAGGTTTCACAAGCATAGAGCAAAACTGCTCTCACCGACCCGTTGTAGATCCGGCCTTTTACAGCCAGACTAACATCACGAAGGCGCCAAAGGTGGCCCAGATTGGCATAAGCCGCTCTGGCTTTCACTATTCGTGCATTGATCTCATCACTCACACCCCCACCATCACTTATACAGCTACCCAGATACACAAACTTCTCGACTACGTCTATCTGTTCACCATCCAGGGTGAGTACAGGATTGGAATCCTGCCAGTCTTGTAGGAGTACTTTGCACTTCGAAGGTGCAAAGCACATACCATACCTACGGACACTGATTGCCAACTGATTAAGTGCGGATTGCATGCCTTGGGCATTATCGCACAGTAAGACAATATCGTCCGCATACTCAAGGTCGAGAAGTCTTTCTCCAGACAACAGATCCACACAACCATTACTTATATTCATCAGAGCTGTTTCCAGAATGTCATCGATGACAAAGTTGAAGAGGAATGGTGAGATTGGGCAACCCTGCCTAACCCCACTACTCGAATGGAACAATGGAGAAAGGTGGTTGTATGCCCTCACTCTGCCTGAGGTGTTTGTATATAGGGCTTTTAGGATGTTAATAAACTTCTCAGGCACACCCATCTTCAATAGACAATCCCAGAGAACAGTCCTATCCAACGAATCGAAGGCAGACCTGATGTCAAGAAACACTACGATTGTTGGCCTTTGATAAGTATGACGGTGTTCTAACATTTGGCGGAGGTTGAAGATATGATCAATACATCCTCGACCAGAACGAAACCCAGCCTGCTCCTCGCGAGTCAATCTTTCTCGGGTTTTGAACAACCTACGAAGAATGACGGAAGCCAATAGCTTGGACGCAATGGGAAGTAAACTTATCCCACGATAGTTGTTACAGAGACGACGTGAACCCTTTTTAAAGATAGGGACAACTATCAACTCATTCCATGACGTTGGTACACTCTCTAGTTCCCAAACCTTTGTAAACAACATCGTCAATTCCTTAGTCATAAAGTCACCACCATCTTTACAAAGAGCCGGATGTAAGTCATCTGGGCCAGGTGATTTGTAACGCTTGAAGAGTTGGAGTTCCTGGACACATTGGCGTAAAATTAATTATAAAACTTATATGTTAACAATGTGGGATTTAGATAGGAGAGATGGGGTGAGCACCTTTGTTTTGCAAAGACTGGTTTGTATGCATGTACTTAATATACAATTAGTTATTGGCGAGAAGTTACTAGTTAAGATACTGACGACTGGAAACCCAACGGAAATGCATCCAGCCTCTATTTTAGCAGCCTGTAGTCCTTCCAAGGTGTACAAGTAGTCATTGTGTTTTTGTTTTGCCGCTCTGACAACCCTTTATTACACGTGATTATCAATTTACCTTTTAGGCATTTCAGACTGACATAGCAGCGTGTCATCTGGGCATGTGTAAACGGCATTGTAACTGAAGAATTCTGTAAATGTCATATTTAATTCGTCAGTTACCTGTAAGTTGTCTGAAAGAAAGATATTTTATGTATTCACAACTCACCGCAATAATGCAGTACAGTCCATGTTCTCAACAAGCACCCATCGTCCAGATTATTACAATCCACAATGTCTTTAAATGTAACATTTTCCCTATGGACAAACAATTGCTTGTTCAGTAGCCAGCTCTACCGGCTCACCATTATTTACTTCCTCTTGTCGTTGATGACAACATTAGCCTTATATTGATGTTAAAATGTTACCCCCCAATGCCCTAGTGTGAGTGGCCTATGTTCCTTCACGAGGAGTAACGGGCGTAAGTAAGTAAGTAAATGCCCTAGTACGACTAAGGGTAGTGAGAGTCTTCCAAAGCGTGAATATATGGTGTATACATCCATGTTTAGGTCTGAAACTAGCCTGGTTCCATCGGTTTCACCCTTCACGAGCTCTCATTAGACGTTGAAGTGTTATTGAGGCTAATATTTTAGACAGTTAAACTGATTTTTCCGGGATTGCCACAAGAGGACTTTTGTCTTATAAACTGGGATGATCAGCGGTCTAGACCAGTCAGATTGGATCACATCTGATTCTCAGATTTTAGCTAAGATTCCAGTTAATTTAACTTCTCAAACTGGACCACCACCCTTAATAGTCTCAGGGATCAGTCAATCAGGCCCTGATGCTCTTTTTAGATTATTTGTAGCCTTCTCAACATCACTAAAAGTTGGAGAACTTACATCACGTTTCCATTCAGCTTGCTTGTAATTAGTGGGTCCCTAAATTTGGGCTGTAGGCCGGTTGAACTGTTCCCTAAAGTCCTCTGCCCATCGGTCCAATCTTCCGGATTGAGAGAGGACAATAGTCCCGTCTTTTTCCCAGATGGTTTCACTAACAGCCGAATTTTTAATACTTGTTTACTTGATGAGTCTTAAAGGTTGTTTACTGCTACCTATCTCCTCTGTCTATTTAAGCTCTTCTGCTTTTGTACCCACTATTGCTCACGATCATTGCGTGGGTTTTTTGTCAGCCTTTATTTAAGCTGCCTCCGCTCTTCATCGTGTTTGGAGCCAGATGAGATATGTTTCCGATCGTCTATTAATTTAGTAGACGCCACTGAAAAGCACTGAGTTTTCCTAACATTTTGATTTGAGTTACTAGTAAATATCACTTCTGTTTCTACAGCTTTTTGGATATTATACCAATATAACTCGTGGTGGATATCACTCTCATGGTTGGCTAGTTCCTTCGCTAGTTGTTCTTGAAATACATTCTTGACTTTTTCACTTTTGAGCTGAACTCTGAGGAGTTTTCTTGCTGTGACTTTTCAAAATCGTGCCGATTCTTTATAGGTCAGGTCAAATCAATGACCGTACCTGGATCCTGTGTGCGCGTTTGCGTGACGTGGCATTCACCGATAGCGCGAGATTCTAGAGTTCTTGCTAGAAAAGCCTATTTTCCTACCTGACACAAGGTTCGAACATTAAAAGCCCCAACATTTAGTTTAGTACGTAGTTTCAGGAGACCATGAATAACGTTTTGTTAACTCCAATCATTAACATTGGTACTGCGTGGTGATAAAGATAAATGAGAAGGGTTAATCTTAGGGAAGGAAGAATTATTAAGAGTTGAGGGAGTGATTCGATCATCAGCAAAGTAATCTCAGGTGCTTAGAGGCGAGCATTGGTGCAGATGCTGGTTGTCCATGGGAAACACTGCTCAACAGTATGACTTCACCCTTGAGCCTTGTGTTGCTGCTTTTAGTCTTACCGCTCTCCACCCAACCTGCATGGCAAGTAAGACCTGAAGGAACATGCTTTCCAGCCAGCATAGCTCGGTTGTGTTATCACGGTAGGCACTAAAGTATATCACATGGTACTCGCCTTGAAAAATTGATGTCTCCCAATTTAAGAAAACGTATATAGGATTTGGATAATAACCTCATAATAGTGTTGGAGTTAAAACACACTTGAAAAATACATGTCACAGTGATCCGCGTATACATGGCTAACTAATGAACATTTAAGATGCCTGTTCTACTGCGAACAAACGACTCAGCGAAGGAATCAGATAAGTCAAAACCTATCTCTGTCCTCTCCCCATATTAGTTTGCGTGACCAAGCCAGGACCTTCATTTGCCATAACTGTTATTAGGTCTAATACTAGGAAACCTCGAGGCTCTGCACGTGATAACTTCTTTTGAGAAAACATAACCTATAAGAGACTCAGTCACTAGGTGGTGTCAAATGATGTATCGATCAATACATCGTTTGATACTTCTAAAAACACTATGTTGCTGGCTACTTTTGTCCTAATAGGGTAATCAGTTTCAGTCTAATTTTAATCCCAAGTCACATACTTAAATTCTCTAACTGCATGTTCATCGTACTTTTTCAGGTGTAGATGGACATGCTCAGACTAGTCTATATCTAAGTTTACGCAATGTGCAGTTCGAACACATTCGGACAGAACTAGTCAGTCGACCAATTAACCACTTAAATTGTGTCATAGATCTAAGTCTTGCTCCATCTGTTTCAGTTTGTCCAGCCAGGTAGTTTCATACTTGAGGTTTGGTTTGAATCTGCAATGGGTTCATAAGTTTCAAAAGATGCCTGTGTAGTATTGTACATTTTTTTGGATAGTTGCTGGTGAAACATACCAATTTACGACGATGCGAAGATCTAGTACTTCTAGGTTTTTAATGTATCTCTAGCTTACTTAAGCTTGTATTAACTGAATTTCTTCAAGTATATAGGGTAACAAGCAAGTCAGAACTGTTATCGTTTACATCGTATCTTTCATTACTTGGTTACTTAATAGTTTACTTTCTTTAGAATCCGGAAGTAAATTCCAATATATCCTATTTCCTCTTTGTTAATATATTACAGGCATAACTATTCAAATCTAGGGAAAACAAAGTGCTCTAAGCTATGTTGGAACAAAGTGCCAATGTCTCACCTTTTACGCCAAGGGAAGACAAAACCTGTTGGATTTGTTTGAGTTCTGAAGTAGACGGTAACTCAGCCAACTTATGGAGCAGACCTTGTCGCTGCCGTGGCGCACTGAAATGGGTTCATCAAACGTGTCTTCAAAGGTGGATTAGTGAACAACAACACAGCAGAGGAGAATCGAATTCTATTTCATGTCAGATATGTAATACACCATATATAATAGTTTATCCTGATTGCGGTAAGTTCTGTTTAATGATCTTGGCGAATCAAATAGTACTGAAATTCTTTTATCTAAGCTAAACTGCAACTAACCTGTTTTTAAGTAGTTTGTTGATTATTTTGTAATAACATACTCATTATTTAATTAATCTTATGTGATTCACGATTAAAATGAAGTCTAGATTCCCCAGTCATTCTTCTCTTTGTAGGGTATAAAAAGTACGTTTAACATTACGATCAAGATTTGACCCAAGCCATATAATCTAATATGTCATACCTTTTATAACTTGGAAATCCCATCCAACCTAGATGATCTGACTCAGCTGAAATATGTATAGTGTTTGATCGCGTTGAAAATTGTTTCAGTCTTCTCTAGACATGGCGAAACATCGTGTAGATACACCCATCAATATCCTAAATATCTTAACCAACGTTCTTAGTTCACTTGCGACTTAATGTCTGATACTTGGCATTTAACGAATAGTTTACAGTTAGACATGTGGTTGACTTCTTTCTTGTCATTTTTAAACTTGGATTGTTCGGAATTCATAACAAAGGTTCCTAGTATTTTCTGGCTTAAGCATTGTAAAAGCGCAATATTTTTTAATTTTTGTATTAATGTAGATTATTTGGTCAAATTATTGCACTTTTTGTGTCACTGTTCTTACCAGCAAAGTCTTCAGCATATGTAATATCAAAACTTTGAATATTATTATTATTATTCCAGAGTGGTTTATTTGTCTAACAGAAGACATACTAAAATATAAATTGTAAGTATCAACAGCTCAAATAATAGTGTATAGTTATCAATATATTCCACTCTGACGTTTCGAAGAATCTTTAGTAGGTTGCCTTTGACGAATTCTAGCTAAATGGATATTACGCTACTCATAGTTCGGGCACTTATGTATGATATAGTTGAAGTACCAGTTTGTTAGATCAAGCTTGTTTAGTAGATAATAATAAGCAGCATAACATGCACGACCAGATTCAAAATGCCATGAGTGCTGGACTGTGTTTCGTAATCTAGTTTTATCAATGGAAACTAACGAGGTACTAGATGTTAAACACTAATCCCAACCGATCTAAACTGTACGTCAAAATGTTTATGGTTTAACGACCACTAATAAGCAAAAACTCTCTGACCCAAAATTGCGACTGTTCTCTTGTTTTATATTATCACTCTACTTACAACTGAAAGTATCCCTAATAATTTTTATTATACATTGTGTTACATTCATCTCAGTTTCAGAAAACCTTATAAATAAATTCGACTTTTAACTCATATTTTTGGTCACTTTCAATCGTTTATCAAAGAGAGGCACCATTTCTTACGTAGATTTATTTTTAGGTAATATGTTTTCAAATAATATGGAATGTGACTGTATTCTGTCCTCTAGTAGTAATTATCATTTGATTTGATTTGTATGTGGGCTATGATACTGTCCAGGTTCCCAGACCTAAGCAGGTGGTTTTCTTTGGGGGCCACACCCAGAGCCTTCGACCTAAAAGTCTGATCTGCAAGGCAGTGGACTCTCGATCTTCGGCCGTAGCAGGGCATTTGGACGCATATGTATTTGATGTCCCCTTGTACCAATATTTTTTAAAGAATTCCATTTATTTCAGTTTAATAACAAGTAAAAATAATGTACGATTCTTTATTTAGAATATGCAAAAGTCGGCGCAATAGGACACCAAATAGAACACACTACACAAAGAACAACGATTATATTGTGATGAAATATAAAGTAGGAGCATCATATGATCGATGAACAAATGAACAGAAGAAATATTTAGTTAAAGATGCAGTTCATTTTTAAAAATAAAATGGTGAAAAGGACATTAGGTTAGGAGTGTCCACCCTACTTCTATGAGAGATATATTGAAAAAAAAACTACAACAGAATCTTTATTGACTTATGAACCCTGTAGCACAACATCCCTATCAAATGTGTTGCTTTATCTTTAGTATCTCAACTAGTACGTAGTTATAAACTTACATGCACCATGCCTAAGCAGCCATCTTTCGTACTACGAAATTATGGCGTGTACTAACCACTTTTCCCATCCAGTTCTAGCGTCCGAAAATAATATGCGGTAATGAATCCTCCAGTACAACTTAGTCCCAACCGTACCTGCTACTTTGACGCAGTGGTCGGGCTTGCCTATCGTAATGACCCAACCGAGCTACATTGGCTGGAACATACGATCCTGTAGGTTCTACCATGCCAGGCAGGTCGATTGGAGAACGGTAAGACTAAAAGCAGCAACTCAAGGTCTGAGGTCGAAGTCCTACTGCTGACTGTAGAGGAGTGTGACAGCAGTACGGTGTTTCCCTCGGACAACCAGCATGACAGCGATGCTGCCTTCTCACAAGGAAGGACGGGGTTAGAAAAGGTCGATCCTTAAAATGTCACACCTCACCTTATCTCACGGATTTCCGTCTCCGGAGGTAAGGCCCTTTGAAGAACGGAGCTAACACGTCAAAAACCTCCCACAAAAAGGCCGTGCGCGACCGGCCCCAAGCAGTTGTCCCTTAGGCTCTGCCGTCACGCTCCCAGGTCGTTAACGCCGACATTAATCCGAATTCCTTTTCAGGTTCCTCAAGAAATACCCTCCCATGATGTGGGCAGCTGGGAAGTGATATCAGCCCTCATACCCGTAACAGCACACGAGACCAAGTTGGTCACATTCAAATCCTTCCTACACCTCCTAATGATAGTCAAGCTAAGAGTATATCTCAGGAACAACTAGGAAAACAGTTAGGCAGCCATATAGGTGATGCCCACCCCGAGGCAGCATGGAATGATATCCGAAAAGCTGTGGAAACAGCAGTGATATCTGCTAGTACAGTAAACCATAAGGTTAGGGAGCGACACTGTATCTCAGCAGCATCTACCGCACTGGTAGATGCTCGACAACTCAGTCCATCTGGATCTGAACATAACGAAAAGCGGAGTCAGCTTAAGTGCAAATTGACAAGAAGCCTACGCAATGATCGCGAACAGTGGTGGGTAGCGAAAGCAAGAGAGATGGAAAAGGCAGCGGCAATAGGTAATAGCAGACAATTGTTCAGACTTGTTAAGGAAACCGGTATTAGGAACCCGACTGTTAGCGAAACAATGTCAGAGAAAGATGGACATGTTATACATTCTCAATCCAGGAGATTAGATCGATGGGCAGAACAATTTAGGGATCAGTTCAACTGGCTTTCAGCCACACTTCGGTTTCCCACGATCTCCAGTCAACCTGAATGGCAAGTTAATTTAGCTCCTACGACTCCTTATAAAGTTGAAAAAGCTACAGGAAATCTGAAGCGAGGGAGAGCAGCAGGCCCTGACAGGTTTACTCCTGAGATTTTCAAGGATGGTGGTCCAATATTAGCAATGAGATTAACTGAGGTCTTAGGTAGAATTTGGGAACTGGACGCAATCCCATCTGACTGGTCTCAATCACTGATTGTGCCAGTCTATAAGAAAGGACAAAATCCTCTTGTGACAATCACAGAGGAATCAGTTTGACTAATATAGTGTCTAAGATATTAACTTTAATAATACTTCGACGCTTAACCAAAGCAGACTAGAGCAAACCAGGCCGGTTTTCGACCTGGACGTGGTTGTATCGATCAGATATTCACACTACGTCAGGTTCTAGAACACACACACGTCCAGACGCCCTACAATGGTAGTATTTCTCGACATCAAGGCCGCATTCGACTCTATTGATCGTGAGGTTCTATGGCAGTGTTTGTCACTGAAAGGAGTACCAGAGAAGTACATTAACCTTGTAAAGGCTTTCTACTCGAACATAACTGGTCGAGTGAGAGCTTATGGCGAACTGTCATCAGAATTGATCACCTCAAGTGGTGTTCGTCAGGGCTGCCCACTCTCTCCATTGTTGTTTAACTTTGTCATTGACGTACTTTTAGAGATAACACTCTCATCTAAATTTACAGGGGTTGAACTTGTACCGGGAGGTTCACTTGTTGACTTAGAATATGCCGATGACATAGTTCTATTTGGTGAAGACGCTGACAAAATGCAGAGTCTTCTGACCACTCTAAGCAACAATGCAGACATGTTCGGGATGCGATTCTCGCCCTCGAAATGTAAAATGTTGCTTTAGGATTGGGCTGCATCGACACCCAAACTAATGATAGGGAGTGAAGTAGTTGAGCGTGTCGACCGTTTCACTTATCTTGGAAGTCTGACCAGCGCTTGTGGTTTGGTGTGTGACGAAGTCTCAGCACGGATACAGAAGGCTCGACTAGCTTTTGCCAACTTGCGTCATTTATGGCGTAGGCGAGACATCCGTCTATCAACCAAAGGACGTGTTTACTGTGCAGCAGTTCGTTCCGTCCTACTTTATGGCAGTGAAACATGGCCAGTAAGAGTAGAGGATATTCGTAGGTTACTAGTATTTGATCATAGGTGTCTTCGAAACATTGCTCGTATATCATGGGACCATCGAGTAAGTAACGCAGTTGTTAGGAAACGGGTACTAGGTAAGGATGGCAAATCCATTGATGAAGTAGTGAAACTTCATCAGTTGAGATGGCTGGGACACGTGTTACGTATGCCCAACCACCGAGTGTCTCGACGATGTTCAGTGGTATAGGAGTAAGTTGGAAGAAAGCTAGGGGCGGCCAGACCAAAACATGGCACAAGTCCATGAAGTCACTGACAAGTGAACTGAGTCATGTTGGTAGGTGTAGACTACCTGGTTGGGGATCGCGAGATGATAGCAACTGATGGTTAGAGACCCTGAATGACATGGCTCAAAATCGTTTGCAATTGCGCAGATGCATACACTTTTTGTGTTCTCCCAAATTCTAATCTCCTGATTCCTCATTGTCTCTTTTTTTTCTCTTCCCAAATTTATTTCACTGGATTATACTCTTTAAATAACATCTCCAAACCCTAATCTTCTCGATTACTGCTTATACTCTTACTACCTCTACCACTACGGGATTTGAATCGACAACTGCATCTCTGTGCTAATGTGGTATGGCAACTCGAACTGATGTACGTACGTACGAAGTTCTACGTTGTTACTGACTGGCTGACTGACTTCTTTGATATAAATACACGAGTTCCTCGATTGTTTCGCAATAGTAAATACAGGTATACGTCTTTTGCATTTGGAACGTAGAAAGTACACTACGTATTGACATGAATTAATTACTGATTAATTATTAAATACGTTCTGCAATATTCTGGAAATACTATTAACGTGTTGATGTTTATAACGCTTATGTAACTTGCCGATATTTATTCAATATAAACTTAAAACAAGGGCATTCCGTATGCTACAAATTTTCGATAGGTTATAAAGTGCATTTCAATTATAATACTTCCTGTTAGAAAATTTTCGAAACATTTGGATGCTCTGTGCAGTTAGGATGTAGGGAACTAAGTAATCATGGCTGTCTAGGTCATTTTTAGGAAGGAAGTAACCACTCAATACAGATTAAATACAATAGAAAGTGAAGACTTAGAATAATATTACTAACTCATGAAGAAAGAAGGGGATATCAGTTATAAGTGAGAAAAAGGTGATGATGATGCAATAAAAGATAGAGCTTTTAAAATACAACAGGTGTACCTCAGTACAAGTCCAACAATAAGAAGTCAAAGCATAACATGTCGCAGTAAGATATAATCTGAACACTCATGGTCACAGCGTATTTCTCGATATGACAAATCTGTATCCTCCCCATTAAGGAATGCTACCAGAATGTCATTTACAACAGGACTGGAGAAGCACAGTAAAGTTGAGCATCCTTGCCGAACCATAATATCATATTGGAACAATAGGGAAAGGTGCTTGTATATCTACAGTCTACTCTAGATATTTTGAACAAAGATTTTAAAGCACTAGTTTACTAGTTCCTATATTTCTATCGGCACCTGTTTGTATTCTTGACGGATAAGATCTGGAAGATGTGGAGACTTTCACATCCCTCATCAGCATTTTCCGGTCAGTCAGTCACAACGTAGGACCAGGCACATATATGCATCGGTCCAACTCGCCACACCTCATTAGCACAAAATGAACACCAAATTCATAGAAATATTCACTTCAATGGTAGTAATATATAAAAGAAAGATTGTGTATAAGAATATAAAATTGGAAGAATTAGTTCACAGAAAGAAAGGTATAAAGCAAAGCGTGTATACGCCGACGCCACTGTGATCGATTCTAAGCCATGTTACCCATAGTCTCCAACCATTGGTTGCGATAGTCACTTGGACCTCAAGCAAATAGTCCGCATCTACCAACATGGCTCAGGGTGAAGTGGGTTGTGAACTATCAATTGGAAGTTGTTTTTATATCGTATAACCACCACTTCACTTACAAAGGATATTCGAAGTGAACGAAGTATGTACATTTGAGAGATCACTTATTACAGGTACATAATGGATTTGGCGCTTAAATGCGTATCTATATACCTAATACTATGGAAGTTTGTTGTTCATATTTGAAAGGATTTACGCTCGAAACTACATGCGAGCCAATAATTGTTGTTAATCAATGTAAGTGGAAATCAAATACTTTTATCAGTCTTTATGAAAGTGCGCGTCAAATGAACTTGCAAATTCTTTGCAGTACCCATTTCACTTTACTATGATGTAGCGACTGTAAGAACCGTAAAATTGATTTAAATTTCTGCTTATTTCTATTCAACCATTAATAGATTGTTGTATAATAGATCATTTTAAGATCAGTAACAGACAATATATTTGTATATGAAGACAATTATGTCCATAGTAAGAATCTCACGGTTTATTGCAGCACAAAGACTGTATACACCGACGCCATTTTGATCGATTCTGAGCCATATCACCCAGAGTCTGCAACCATTGGTTACGTTAGTCACGCGCACTCAAACCAAGTAGTCTGAATCTATCAACGTGGCTCAGACCAGAAGTTAGTGACTTCAAGGACTAGTGACACGTTTCGGTTTGGCGGCTCCTAACTTTCTCCCAGCCGTCTCCATCATTGCATGTCGTGGTGTTTGGTAGTTCGGTATGACTAATACGTGGGTCGACTACCTCAGTCGTTGAAGATTCACAACCTCATCAACTGATTTACCATCATTCCCTAATACACTACCTCCAACCTCACTATTAATTTTAGCCTGTGATTCCAGCTGATGAGAGCAATATTTCTAAGACAAAATACTAGCAACTTACAACTATCCTCTACCCTTAATTATCACGTTTCACAGCCGTAAAGTAGCATAGAACGAACTGCCGCACAATATACTCGTCCCTTAATTGATGGACGATTATCTCGCTTTCGCTATAAGTTGTCAAAAGCCAAAAGTGTTCGAGTAAAGAGCCTTGAAAAGGTTTATATACTTCTGAGGTACACCTTTCAATGACAGACACTGCTACAGAAATTCTACGTTGACAAGTAGACCTCAGTTGCTGAAAATTCAATCGACGGGAACGTTATTTCCAGCAGTAGGTTTATGATAAAATTAAACAGAAATGAAGATAGTGAACAACCTTGCTGGACATCACTTGTGTGTGCAAAATAGGATTACAATTTGCCATAATCAGGTAAGACTGTTGTCATTTTCCGAAACTGTCTCACACCTGAATTATTAATTCCAGTTTCTTTTATCAGTCTGAAAAGCTGTCTTGTGTTACCTACAGCCGCTACCCTTTCCATTTCTTTTCCTTCCGTTGCCAACCACTACTCACGGTCGTTCCTTAGACTTTTGGTTAACCTATATCTAACTTGTTTTCGCTCTTCATCGTGTTCAATGCCTGATGGGATAAGTTTACGCAAATCTCTCAGTGGAATGGACTTAGTAGAAACCCACTGATTTTTCGTAACTCATCGATTCAGATCACTCATAAATTGCGCTGTTGTTTGCACAGCTGCTTGTATATCTTTCAAAGCAACATCTGGGTCAGCCTTGTTTTCGAAAATGCCAAAGTGTGACTTTCGTCTGTTCCTACAATTAACTTTTGCCCTTCTCATCGCTGAAATCAATAATAGTGGGTCTTCTTAATATGGCCTTTCTGTGTTCAGTTAGGCGCAAGCATATGCTCGTATTAGAGCATGATCAGAGTCTAAACATGTACTCCAGAGCGAACGGCGCTCTTCTGTCGAGTCTCTCCAACGAAGACCGATGGCTATATGGTCTATTTGAGTCTACCACTGGTTTAACGCAGAGGGTCGCCATGTCAGACGTTGTCTATTCTTATGCTTAGAATTAGTGCCTTTTAGCAATAAACGATTGTCTGAGCGCAGTTGCATGAGACGGTCACTACTGTCCGTAATACGAAAATACCCACCTAGATGTCTTTCTTTTTGGTTTAATCTACCTACCTGGACATTGAACTCACCTGCTACGAGTACTACTACTAGGCCGAAGAACACACTGCGTCGAGAATCGGAAGCAGATATAAAAAGGATGAGTAGCAGCCAGAAAGAAGAGATCGGGACAGAGTTGGTTGGGGAATGTGGATGGCCTATACTCGTCCATGAGGAGTAACAAGCATAAGTAAGTGTTTGTATTCTAGTCGGTAGTAAGTTTTCCACTGGCGAATTGCATCTTCCACCAAATATGATACAAGCACTTCATGGAGAAAATTTCATTGAGGAAAACGGGCTCATTCCCAGATGGTCAATTTACTTGGTAATCACTTTGAAATATGTTCAAATTTACAATGTAGATGTAGTTGTAGCTTCTACATTTTGTGTCTGTTATCGAATAAAATACTTCTGAACAACTAAATTCCTTCACTAAATTCTTATGTTTTAGGATTTTTCTATGATTTTCTTCAGTCTGTTGACCAAATTACTCGCTCTCTATCATTTGTTCTTACTGGTGGGATTATTTTCGGCTCATTTTACTGGTCTGCTGTAACGTACGGAGCTGTAACAGTAATGCAAGTTTATGGACATCGTCAAGGTTTACAAGCTATGCGGCTCACGGATCCTCCTCTTCTACTGCTAGGTCTCCCGACTATTCCTTTGTGTCTTGTTTTGGCGAAAGCAGTTCAATGGGAAAGTAGACTGCTTATGTTATGGAGGAACCATATAAGTCGTTTACCCTTTATTCAGCTGTTCAGACGCAAAGGTAGGTATTATCTGAATAATTTATACCTCACTACAATTTTTAGAAACTTAGTTCAGTATACACCTGTTTTTAATCAATACAAAAAATTGATTCTAAGTAGCTTATCAGCGTATACATTTTCGGAATTTATATATTCAAAATGGTGAACAACTTTGTATTTGGATTACAGTGGCTTTCATATAGTATCTAATGTGTGGTAGTGAAAGAAAAGTATGAGTGGTCGTTAAGCGTGAACAAACAACCACAGCCTACGGAATATTAAATATGTGACCGTTGATTTCTACTCTGGATTCACTGTGTTGTGACTGCTTGTAATTATATTTTTGTAAAGTATTCTCTAGTGTTAATCTCGTTCTCTATTTTGGGCCGTGAGTCATGGTTCTGATATAACGTGATTAGCCTTATTAACATATTATCGTAATATACGTGTACCGGAGTAAAATATTGTAAACCGTCCGTTATATCAGTATCGCTGACAGACGTACCATGTATTCATTATACAGGTCTTATTTTAATGTTTGGATTTGTAGGACATTTTTCAGACATATATTGTAGTTTAACCTTAAGACAGAAGCATTGTACTAATGTGAAATCGGTTTTATTTAGCTTGATAAATATTCTTCTATTGCAGTATTTTACCACAGCTTGACATCGGACACCTTCAACGGTTTGCCGTAATTCATTTTCCTTCGGAATATTGTAAACGAGTCCAACAGCGAAAAACGTTGGTTATCGAATTTCCTCTTGTGTTATTTCACTAGTTGGTCTCTACCTTTGACACAAGGTTCTTCGTTTGTTTCTACATCTTAGGAAGTAATCTAGAAAAAATAGCCATCTCTAATTCCAGGTCTTAACTGATAATTTCAAATCAATCGCTACAGTCGTTATATTCAGTGGACTAACGAAATTCATTACTGGACTAAACTAAATAAAGATTTATTTAACATGTTTATTAACGAAACTGTTAGAGCAGTGCTTGTGATTAGGTTAAATTACATGGATGTAATTTTCACTAACTAACAAAAATCCTTTAAACTTAACAAATCAGACTACTTTGGTGGTGATGGGGACAGAAAGTAAATAAGTGATGACATCAGTTTAGCCTATTTATAGTAGTCCTGCACATAGCAGCCGAGTATTTACGTTCAAATATACAATAATGTTTTGAACTTCACTTGTTTGACGGTCGTTCCTACCATCTGCGTGTTCAGTCTAACGCAACTAGACCGGAGTTCGCTCCTGTAGGAAGTAGTTTCTTACAGATTCAATTTTAAACTATTCTCTAGACTGTTGAATGCACAGTCTTAGCTCAGATAAAGTCAGAACAATTAAGTTATTTGGCTTGATAAACTGTATCTGCTTCTAAAACGCAAATTAACAGTATACAAAATAAACAATAAATACAGTCTGTTAAATAGGGAAAAGACAAATAACATACTGTACAGTAACTAGAGGATAGGAAAAATGCGTCAACAAACCGAATATTTTAAAGCAAAGATGGATAGTGGCTAGTAGTGAAATCCAGGACGCGTGTTCCGTCCCATTTGGGACTTGTCAGCTGGATGTATCTGTGCAGAAAAGTCTTACGAATAAGTATCACTAAAATGTGGTGAAGGTACATGATACAGGATGAAACTTTTAGCTTTAACATTCCTGTTGTCTTAGTATAGTCTAGTGAAGTGTAATAAATTGTTTAGAAAGTGTTTTTATGTTGAATCTCGGTTAGTATACTGTGTTATTTTCTCTTTTACTGCAAAGATCTTCCAACCTGGCCTGTTAATGATGTTGATATAGAACTACGCCCAGAACTCTCTGATATACCTCGTTTATTTTGTAGTGCATTAGCTCTTCCAACAATATCTACCGTTCTGGGACACTTATTATTTAAACGAGTGCAGTCTGCTACACACAGAGTTCTCCTGGTAAGATAATTTCCACGTGTTTTATTAGATTGGTTGATATATATATATATAGTAACGATTGTAACGATTTTTTAAACTGCGATGTGATTAAAAGGATCCAGACAGTTTGTGTTCTGTTATTTAAAAGTAGAGATTTCCAAGTCAAATTATAATAAAGTCATTATTCTGCTATGGAGTGGAAAACAGGCTATTCGAAATTCATTTGATCAACTGCTGTACTTTTCAGCATCGTATTGTATAGCACGTTTCTGAACGTAGTACAAGTTTGTACTTTCACTTAGATTCAGATGCCACTCGTTTGAAATAATAAGTTTGTGCATCTTGGTTGTTGTGTCAATGAAACAATGCAATATTAATTCTAGATGGTTAATTGTATCCAATATCAGTAGTAATTTAGAAGCTATTCTAACTGTCTCAGTTATCATTCAGAAACTCATTGGTTCATCATGCAGATTCGATTAATCAATTTAATTGATTTATTTCTTTAATTTTCTTTACTAGGGTGGTTTGACGTATCTTGGAGTGAAAGGGCTACTGACTATATATTATCAAGAGTTGCAATATATCCGTATATGCTATAGACAAGTAAAAGATTATGATGAATAATTAATATTGAGATTTCACAGCGATATTAGAATCATTATATTTATGTATTAATTGTACAGAACAAATATATAAGCGTGATAGTTTTGACGTTGATTTTTCACTTTATAAAAAATTTAATGGTAAACTGAATATACGTTTCTATCCTATGATTCCTTTTATTTCTATATTTGAGGACGATATCTAAGTTTATTATCTAACAATTATAGTGGATATTCGCTGGTCAGCTCTCCTATTATTTCATTGGACGTCGCAGAAGACCTAATACATCCACTGCTGTTAAAAATTAAACTTTTAGCCTCTTTTTTAGTGATGATCAAACAGTCATTCAGTAACAACGTAGAACTTCGTACGTACGTACATCAGTTCGAGTTGCCATACCACATTAGCACAGAGATGCAGTTGTCGATTCAAATCCCGTAGTGGTAGAGGTAGTAAGAGTATAAGCAGTAATCGAGAAGATTAGGGTTTGGAGATGTTATTTAAAGAGTATAATCCAGTGAAATAAATTTGGGAAGAGAAAAAAAAGAGACAATGAGGAATCAGGAGATTAGAATTTGGGAGAACACAAAAAGTGTATGCATCTGCGCAATTGCAAACGATTTTGAGCCATGTCATTCAGGGTCTCTAACCATCAGTTGCTATCATCTCGCGATCCCCAACCAGGTAGTCTACACCTACCAACATGACTCAGTTCACTTGTCAGTGACTTCATGGACTTGTGCCATGTTTTGGTCTGGCCGCCCCTAGCTTTCTTCCAACTTACTCCTATACCACTGAACATCGTCGAGACACTCGGTGGTTGGGCATACGTAACACGTGTCCCAGCCATCTCAACTGATGAAGTTTCACTACTTCATCAATGGATTTGCCATCCTTACCTAGTACCCGTTTCCTAACAACTGCGTTACTTACTCGATGGTCCCATGATATACGAGCAATGTTTCGAAGACACCTATGATCAAATACTTGTAACCTACGAATATCCTCTACTCTTACTGGCCATGTTTCACTGCCATAAAGTAGGATGGAACGGACTGCTGCACAGTAAACACGTCCTTTGGTTGATAGACGGATATCTCGCCTACGCCATAAATGACGCAAGTTGGCAAAAGCTAGTCGAGCCTTCTGTATCCGTGCTGAGATTTCGTCACACACTAAATCACAAGTGTTGATGAGACTTCCAAGATAAGTGAAGCGGTCGACACGCTCAACTACTTCACTCCCTATCACTAGTTCGGGTGTCGATGTAACCCAATCCTGAAGCAACATTTTACATTTCGAGGGCGAGAATCGCATCCCGAACATGTCTGCATTGCTGCTTAGAGTGGTCAGAAGACTCTGCATTTTGTCAGCGTCTTCACCAAATAGAACTATGTCATCGGCATATTCTAAGTCAACAAGTGAACCTCCCGGTACAAGTTCAACCCCTGTAAATTTAGATGAGAGTGTTATCTCTAAAAGTACGTCAATGACAAAGTTAAACAACAATGGAGAGAGTGGGCAGCCCTGACGAACACCACTTGAGGTGATCAATTCTGATGACAGTTCGCCATAAGCTCTCACTCGACCAGTTATGTTCGAGTAGAAAGCCTTTACAAGGTTAATGTACTTCTCTGGTACTCCTTTCAGTGACAAACACTGCCATAGAACCTCACGATCAATAGAGTCGAATGCGGCCTTGATGTCGAGAAATACTACCATTGTAGGGCGTCTGGACGTGTGTGTGTTCTAGAACCTGACGTAGTGTGAATATCTGATCGATACAACCACGTCCAGGTCGAAAACCGGCCTGGTTTGCTCTAGTCTGCTTTGGTTAAGCGTCGAAGTATTATTAAAGTTAATATCTTAGACACTATATTAGTCAAACTGATTCCTCTGTGATTGTCACAAGAGGATTTTGTCCTTTCTTATAGACTGGCACAATCAGTGATTGAGACCAGTCAGATGGGATTGCGTCCAGTTCCCAAATTCTACCTAAGACCTCAGTTAATCTCATTGCTAATATTGGACCACCATCCTTGAAAATCTCAGGAGTAAACCTGTCAGGGCCTGCTGCTCTCCCTCGCTTCAGATTTCCTGTAGCTTTTTCAACTTTATAAGGAGTCGTAGGAGCTAAATTAACTTGCCATTCAGGTTGACTGGAGATCGTGGGAAACCGAAGTGTGGCTGAAAGCCAGTTGAACTGATCCCTAAATTGTTCTGCCCATCGATCTAATCTCCTGGATTGAGAATGTATAACATGTCCATCTTTCTCTGACATTGTTTCGCTAACAGTCGGGTTCCTAATACCGGTTTCCTTAACAAGTCTGAACAATTGTCTGCTATTACCTATTGCCGCTGCCTTTTCCATCTCTCTTGCTTTCGCTACCCACCACTGTTCACGATCATTGCGTAGGCTTCTTGTCAGCTTGCACTTAAGCTGACTCCGCTCTTCATTATGTTCAAAGCCAGGTGGAATGTGTTTCCGAGCATTTATCAGTGAGATAGATCCTGCTGAGATCCAGTGTTGCTCCCTAACCTTCTGGTTTACCTTACTAGCAGATATCACTGCTGTTTCCACAGCTTTTCGGATATCATTCCATGCTGCATCGGGGTGGGCACCACATACATGGCTGCCTAACTGTTTTCCTAGTTGTTCCTGAAATATACTCTTAGCTTGACTATCATTAAGTAGGGCCCTAAGAGGCTTCCTTGCAGGATCTTTCCTACGTCCAGTAAGACGCAAGCAAATACGCGCTCGCACTAGAGCATGATCTGAATCTAGGCATGTGCTCCAGAATGAGCGACAGTTTTCTATCGAGCCCCTCCATCGGTGGCTGATAGCGATGTGATCTATTTGGGTCCAACGTTGGGACGAATTAGGGGGTCGCCATGTTAAAAGATGTTTTTCCTTATGCTTAAAGTTAGTATTTGCAAGGAACAGGCGGTTATCTGAGCATAGCTGCAACAGACGGTCGCCATTATCTGTTCTTTGAGCCACGACACCATAGGATCCACCTAGGTGTCTTTCCTTATCGCTTAGTTTACCTACTTGAGCATTAAAGTCACCGGCCACTATTACTACATCTGAGCGCTTAGCTTTTCGGAGAAGGTCCGAAAGCTTTCTGTAAAACTCATCTTTTACATCATCTGAGCTGCAGTCAGTGGGAGAATAGGCAGAGACGACGAAGAGGCAACGACGAGTGTCCCTATCTTTCCGGATTCTTACTGTTCCGTTCAGTCGGACAGCGCACAAACGACTGTTTACTGGGATCCACTCTAAGAGAGCTAGTTCTGCCCTAGGACTCAATGCTATACCTACGCCGGTGAGGCCACGGGAAGCAGAATCAGGGCTTCCAGATACACGAAGCGTAAATCGAGTCGGTTCTTTATTTTGGCATGGTGAGGTCAAATGAATGACGCTACTTGGGTCCTGTATGCGCATTTCGGAGACGCAGCACACATCGATGGCGCGAGATTCTAAAGTTTTAGCTAAGGAAGCCTGCTGTCCTATTTGGCAAAGTGTTCGTACGTTAAAAGCTCCTACGTGTAGTTTAGAACGTGGTTTCAGGAGACCAGGAATGGCGTTCCACGTACTCGAATCGTTTGCCCTAGCGGTGCGAGGTGATAAAGAGACGTGAGGAGGGTTAGTCGGGAGGATAAGAGAGGTATTAGGAGGTGTAGGAAGGATTTGAATGTGACCAACTTGGTCTCGTGTGCTGTTACGGGTATGAGGGCTGATATCACTTCCCAGCTGCCCACATCATGGGAGGGTATTTCTTGAGGAACCTGAAAAGGAATTCGGATTAATGTCGGCGTTAACGACCTGGGAGCGTGACGGCAGAGCCTAAGGGACAACTGCTTGGGGCCGGTCGCGCACGGCCTTTTTGTGGGAGGTTTTTGACGTGTTAGCTCCGTTCTTCAAAGGGCCTTACCTCCGGAGACGGAAATCCGTGAGATAAGGTGAGGTGTGACATTTTAAGGATCGACCTTTTCTAACCCCGTCCTTCCTTGTGAGAAGGCAGCATCGCTGTCATGCTGGTTGACCGAGGGAAACACCTCACTGATTAATCATTCTTCTTCCTACTTGGGATTCTTGTCTCAATGTTCGTGTATTGAAGAAATCAATGTCTAATGGAAGGATTGCTGGTGGCTTTCAATGTTAATATGTTCAAACGCTCAAGCTATTCATATCAATTTCTGCGAAACTTAATCTATTACCAACACTGTCTGAATGAATGAAGATGCACAAAAGGACTTATTAAACACCGCTATACCAATTAAAGCTGGTAGATGTGGTGACAATTGATTCGTGAAAATTCCCTTGGTTTTTACTTAATTTCAAGAAATTCACTTGTATGGTCATTTCTGGTTGAGAGTTGTTGGTGTTCATTATATTCAGTGTTATAACCTAACTTTGCTGGAAACTGGTGAATTACTTCACCTTTAGTATTGTTTCAATCAATAAAATTTTAGATTCAGACATACTTCGAAAGTGTGACCAATCTAATATTTGGGGATGTCTTTAAAAAGATTGACGTGATAAATTTCAACACAACACAGATAACAATTGATATTCGTAGCTTACTCTTTTAGAATTGCATTCTACGAGACTCAAGTGGCACCCTAAAGATGTGTAGTATTAAGCTAGAGTATGCAAAAAACTGAACTATTTAAATTAATCCGCTTAAAACGAACAGTTGCATTCCTAATTTTACCAATAAATGAGTTCAGATTCGATTTTCCTTACAAGGGTTCGGTGCTGATATATGAGTGGAAACTGTTCAAAATACGTAACACCACACATTTATAAAGTAGATCTGATGCCAGATGTTTTAAAAACAAGCCTTTCGACTTTGTCGCATTTGATAAACCTGACTTTTTCGTAACCAAGCTGGTTTCATTCTAGAACCTAACGAAATTAGAACTGCTCTTTTAGGTCACTTTTTCCATTTTTATTAATTTACAACTACCTCGTTGAGAAATTTAACAAGTGTTTCTTTCCAGCTTTTTCCTAAATT